AAAGCTATGCTGCTGGGCAGGGGTTTCATGGAGCAGGATGAGCTTTGAGTTGCACTGCAGAGCAGGGGGTACCTGGAGCAGGATGAGCTCAGAGCTGTGCTGTAGGGCAGGGATTTGTGGAGCAGGATGAGCTTTGAGCTGAGCTTTGAGCTGTGCTGCAGAGCAGGGGGTACCTTGAGCAGGCTGAGCTTTGAGCCATGCTGTAGGGCAGGGGGTACCTGGAGCAGGATGAGCTCTGAGCCGAGCTGCAAGAGCAGGGTGTACCTGGAGCAGGATGAGGTTTGAGCTGAGCTCTGAGCCGAGCTGCAAGAGCAGGGTGTACCTGGAGCAGGATGAGCTCTGAGCCGAGCTGCAGGGCAGGGGTTTTGTGGAGCAGGATGAGCTTTGAGCTGAGCTGCAGGGCAGGGGGTACCTGGAGTAGGATGAGGTTTGAGCTGAGCTGCAGGGCAGGGGTTTTGTGAAGCAGGCTGAGCTTTGATCTGAGCTTTGATCTGAGCTTTGAGCCGAGCTGCAAGAGCAGGGTGTACCTGGAGCAGGATGCTCGGTCCCACCTCCAGCCGTGACGAGGGGTCCGGAGGGACTCGTTCCTCGGGCTCCTGTCCCAGCRGTGTCCCCGTGGCATCGCTCAGCAGGTTCCTCCTCCTCAGGAACTCGGTTTGCCGGGGGCTCTGTGCCGGTCCCGGGGCTGGCCGGGCCAGGTGGCGGCAGGTGGTGGCATTGTCCCTGCGGAGCAGGCTCTCCCTGGCCTCGTGTCGCCGCTCGCTCCTCTCCTCGTAGCTCTCCCCCGGGCGCCGCCGTGGCCGTGCCCGCCTGGGCATGGGGGGATTGTGCCTGTGGAACAAACACAGCTCGGGGTGAAAACAGAGCACTTGTAGGATTTCATGGTGGTGAGGAGTCGGGCAGTGGTTCTGGAGTCCCCTGTACATGTGTAACACTTCTGACACTGATGTGTCCAGAGCAGATCTGCTCTATAATTCTGGTGACTGTCCCTGTGGTGGCTGTGAGGTGCTCAAAGCCCATTCCTTGCACTGTCATTCACTGCAGGATGTTTTTGGGGTGGGCAGCTCTTGCCTTGGGCAGAGGAAAGGCCCACAAGCCCCAGCCAAGACACTGCCCCAAATGCAGAGTGTTTTCCAACTCATTTTAGATAAATCCCAATTGCATGTCCCGCTCAGTCTGTGCTCATCCATCTCTTCCCAGCAGGAAAAGCTCAGCCACTCCCCCACCTGCGCTGTCCCAGGGCTGTAAAAGGCTTGGCTCACTAAAAGTGCACTGAAAAGCAGAGTAAAGCTCAAAGAAACACAATCCATTACTTACCCCGAGCTGAGCAGACTGTTGAGGCCTTCTTGACAAGCTAATCCTCTATTTTCTCCTTCTGTTACCCCAAATCACCCTCTCTAATTAAACATGTCCTTTATCTTTGCTTTCCAAGCTGTTACACTTCTTGCTTCAAGGGAAACCAGAACAAACCTGYGCTTCTTGCTGGTTCACGTTGGAGTTTCCCAGCGCAGGCTCAAATTGGGGTGAAGAAAGAGGAAAAAGGTGCATGAAGCTGCCGTTCCCTCCGCGCCCCTGCAGTCCCAGCAGCTCTGGAGCACTCACCTGGAGCCAGGGGTCCTGTCCAACCCTGCAGAGCTGGCTGGTATCGGGCAGGAACTCGCCCCAGCTGCCCTCCTCATGCCAACCACCTCATCTTGTGCTTGGCTCTCCTTTTCTCTGTCAAACAGGAAACGTTGCAGCTGCGGCCGAGCCCCGGTTCCTGTCTGAGCTCGCACAGCCCGGCTCCCAGCGGGATTGGGGTTATCTGGGGAGCCCAGAATGTCCAGCCTGCCTCCCAGCACAGTTATCTGCTGGGCATCTCCCCTCGCTGCTGGGACACTCAGAGCTGCCTCACGGAGCTGCTCGTGGCACTCRGTGACGGAGTTTCCCCGAGCGGCTTTGGGGCACAGAAATCCAGACTTAGGGAAGTACAGTAATGCTATTATTGTAAGGCTCCTTGCAGATTGGAAAGAGGAAAAAAAAAGGGTGTTTTGGCAGCTGAGGAGAGGTCAGGAATGGCAGAAATTCATTAAGGTCTTTAGAGAAGTGAAAGCTTCGTTAATGCAAATCGGGAGGAGGTCGGTTTGGCCAGCTGGGCACTGATAAGGGCTCGGTGCCCTGATAAGAGCTTGTGCACGTGGAGAAGGAACACCAGCAAAAGAAGAGATCTCAAAGTAACACAGGATTTATTTTTACAAAGACTGGCATGGAAGGGATGARTGACAAAAATTTTCCTGATCTGGAGGCCCTCTCGTGGCTTTGGGTGGTTTGTGCTGCTCGGACCAAATCCTGGTTCTGGGCCAAGCTTGGCACCGGTGCCAGAGGGAACAGTTTCTGGAGGTTGGGCAGGAAACCTACTGGTGAGCAGTCCCTGCTGCAGGACTCCTTTGAAGCGCCTCCTGCTTGGAAAAAAACCCATCACAGGAGTCCCTTACCAAAAAGGACATTTTTGTGCTGCGTTCCTGACTCCTGGAGTGTCCTGTCCCAGGGGGTGCCAGGGGGTGCCAGCCCAGGGGATGCCCCAGCGGTGTGGAGAGCTGGATTAACCCCCAAATCCCCGATGCCCGTCCCCAGGGGTCCCAGCAGGCTGCAGACTCTACGCTGTGGTGTTTGGGTGGTGGAAGTTGCTGCGGAGGATGGAGTCGAGGATCTCCGGGRCGATGCTGCGGCCGAGGAGCGTGGCACGGATGGACAGGGACGGGTAGAGCACCTCACGTTGGCGCAGCGCTGCCCCACGGATGATCTCCAGGGCACACTCGTCCTTGGGCGCCGGYGTGGAGCGGATGATGTGCGAGACGGCGCGCACGGCGCTCTCTGCGAGGGACAGYGGGGTGGTGGCACGTGGGGCACTGCCCGGGGTGTGGGGTGTCCCCAGAGTGCCAAACCCCGGGGATCACAGCTGTTTAACAGCCTTAGGACAGGGACAAGGACAATGACAGCCACKGCCTTTCCACCTCCTGAGTGGCCACAGGATCTCTGCTGGGTTCACTGCAAGGATGGCAGAGCCAAAGATCTCGGGGTGCACCTTTTGAGGGGTTGGGGTCCCCCCGAGCTGCACTGACACTGCAGGGGGAAGCTCCAGCAGCATTTGGGGCCAGGGAATGAGTGGTGGGCTTAGCCTGGCTGTGCCTGCATTGAGCTGGGACCAGGGAATGAGTGATGGGCTCAGCCTGGCTGTGCCTGCACTGGGCTGGGACCAGGGAATGAGTGATGGGCTCAGCCTGGCTGTGCCTGCACCGGGCTGGGACCAGGGAATGAGTGATGGGCTCAGCCTGGCTGTGCCTGCACTG